GCGAACAAGGAGGAAAGAGATTTGGTGAGATTTTGGTCACTTAACACCTATCCATTCATTTCGTCTACAGCTTCAATGCATTTGTTAAGGTGGAAACAATGGTAATGGAGGAGGAAGTCAAGGACTTTAAGGCAGCACGACCAAAACGTCAAACTCCTGATAACCCTTTGCTTGCGTTGTTTCAACCCAAACCTATCGAAACTAAGAAGGTAATTCAATTTTTGAAGTCAAGATCTCCAGCATCTTCTCATTTTTCCAGCCTCTTAAAAAGGACAAAGATGAAAAACTGCGTAAACATAAGGCCGACAAGCTGCGCAAGGCACGCAAAGCCAATCGTCGTGCTCGAAGGAATAAGCAGCGACGCGCTGCTGCCAAGGCTCGACGTCAAGCCAGAGCCCGAAGAGCTCGCCGTCAACGGATTGCAGCACGACAGGCTCGCGCTCGCCTAATCCGACGAATTCAGAGAGCTAAAATTCACCAATCAAAGCAAAGAGCCAATGCTGCTAAGCGAGCAGACCAACTTAAAAAGGAGTGATTGGAGCTTACAAGCGTGTAGTAATTTATTAGGCTTTACAGAGATAGCAATAAATATATTCTTTCGCGAGGTGTACAGTGAAGGATGGTGCTTTGTGGTTAAAAGCACATTTCTATACGTTCTTTCGTGTTTGGTCCCTTTGTATCCCTCAAACGAATCTACAAGGTAGGAGATTAAATGAAGAAGTAGTGCAGTTGGATACATTATATCAATTATTGATCATGCCAAACGAATAACCCTACCGTACTGAGGTGCTTTTCGACTACTTAGTTGATCTGACACTTATAAATGTCTTTCGTTGTGTAAATCACCATTGTCTACGGACAGCATTGTTGATGCTCGCAGTCGTAGGCAATCATTTATTTAATTGCGAATGAAACAACAAGGGGAGAGAGTGGAGTTAGAAGAAATTAACAACAAAAAAGAACTTGAATATTTTGTTTAGCGTAGTGAACATCTTTTTTGCCTCCACAAGGGCAAGGGCTGCTAGGTAGATGCGTTTGTTGATGACGAAAGGCATTATCGCTCTGAATCGGCTAAATTTTATAAAAGCCTTAGTTTAACTCAAGACAGCTTACTTTCCCTTCTTTTTGTTCCAAAGTGGAAAATGTGACCCTATTTTTACCTTACTGCGTTAGTTGCTTTTGCTCACTTATTCTATACGTGAACAGGTAAGTAATATAGGATGTGAAAACTCCTTTGATGTACTTCTACTACTTATTTACTAATTAGTTCACAAAACGAAGAAAGTTACTCAAGATTGTAAAGATCAAAATGCATTGGCTGATTAGCAAATGATTGTAGTACAAACCAGAAGCTTCTTCGCTGAAAAACG